CAAGTAAAATTTTCTCTCAAACTGTACTATAGTTTTAATGTTTATAAAAGTCTTCAACTTAAAAAAGAAACCAGTTCTCTAAACAGTAATTTGTTCTCTTTACCTGTTTGTTTATCCTTTTAATTAGTGTATTCACCAACACAAGTCTCTTCCCACCTTTGAAAGCACAGAGCCAGGCTTATTTTTCCAGGAAGATGCTCTCTTAATGTGTATTTAACTGTTCTGTACCTCACTAGAACATTCTTCAAACCTCCCATTCCTGAATACACATGATACTTATGGGTAGATCCTGATTATGGACATTATACACGCAGAAATAACTAATGTCTAGCCACACTCACTGGGATCTCTTTCCCTTTTGGAAAACAGGCCAGAGTGAAATCTGGAACAGCAGCAATCACTGGGAGGAGGACCGAGCTGCCAAGGGCTAGGTTTGAGAAAACATCAACGCTTCTGCAATAGCTGTTACCTCAAATAGTGCCTTATTCTTCACTATCACGCTTGCTCCTACTTTGTGTCACTGGAGACACTGTTACATCCTGCAGTGATTACAGGCATGCTGTAAGCAGAAAAGTTCCTGGTGGCCCGAGCCACCTGAGCACTTTCCTTCCTCTCATATGGGGCGTCTCTTGTCCCTCTGTTCCCACCGCTGCTTCTCTTCTAAAGCTCCTTCCCTGCCACAGCCCTTAGAACCACTTCTGGTACTGACTGTCTGTATTCAGTTCTTATTGTATTTGATTTCCTGCAGACATTTGACCATGTGACCACACACACCTTTTTGAAAATCTCCTTTCCTTGGCTTTCCTTGGCTTAATAATACCCTCACCTGGTCCTCCTTCATGTTTTACTTCTTCCCAGACATATTTACTGGTTCATTTGCTGCTTCTCACCCCTTAAGTGTTTTCTGTTCCCAGATTTCTTTTCAATCAGAATGCTCTCCTCAAGTAATTTCATCAGTGTCCAAGACTTCAATTACAACTTAAATGTTCATTACTTTAAATGACTCTCCTAAGCTCTAGACACACATTTCTAACTGCCTATTAAACATATATTATTGGTTTGCTGACCTGTACACCTTCCTACTATTTATACAATTAGAGTTTAAATGAGCAAGCTATAAATTATATAAATATGAAAACTAAGTAACTTATAAATTTATTTACAAATTGCTTTTCTTTTTTTAAATGTACTTGCCCATTGCCAAGCACATGATAACTGATTAATAAATATTAGCTGTTATTATTACTGTCTATTATAATAGGGTTTTTCTTGCATCACTTTTATATTGNAAAAGTTCCTGGAGGCCCGAGCCACCTGAGCACTTTCCTTCCTCTCATATGGGGCGTCTCTTGTCCCTCTGTTCCCACCGCTGCTTCTCTTCTAAAGCTCCTTCCCTGCCACAGCCCTTAGAACCACTTCTGGTACTGACTGTCTGTATTCAGTTCTTATTGTATTTGATTTCCTGCAGACATTTGAACATCTCCTTTCCTTGGCTTTCCTTGGCTTAATAATACCCTCACCTGGTCCTCCTTCATGTTTTACTTCTTCCCAGACATATTTACTGGTTCATTTGCTGTTTCTCACCCCTTAAGTGTTTTCTGTTCCCAGATTTCTTTTATTAGTTTCTCTTTTCAATCAGAATGCTCTCATCAAGTAATCTCATCAGTGTCCAAGACTTCAATTACAACTTAAATGTTCATCACTTTAAATGACTCTCCTAAGCTCTAGACACACATTTCTAACTGCCTATTAGACATAAATTATTGGTTTGCTGACCTGTACACCTTCCTACTATTTATACAATTAGAGTTTAAATAAGCAAACTATAAATTATATAAATATGAAAACTAAATAACTTATAAATTTATTTAAAAATTGCTTTTCTTTTTTTAAATGTTCTTGCCCATTGCCAAGCACATGATAACTGATTAATACATATTAGCTGTTATTATTACTGTCTATTATAATAGGGTTTTTCTTGCATCACTTTTATATTGGAATGTATGGATTATAGATATTTGGGGGGTAGGAAGTTGAATATTAATGCATTCATACAATGTGTGATGATCAAATCGGTGTAATCAGCATATTATTCATTATAAAACATAATCATTTCTTTGTGATGAGGACATTCAATCTCCTCTTCTAGCCATTTGATAACATACAATAAATTATTGTTAATTATAAATGTTTAGCTTGACTGTACACCCACAGAACTTATTGTTCCTATCTGTTATGTGTCCATTAACCAACCTGTTATTATCCCTCTTTTCTCTCCCTCTTTCCCACCTCTACTAACCACAGTTCTGCTCTCTCCTTCTGAGAGTTCAACTTATTCTTTTTATTTATTTTTTTAGCTCCACTTATGAGTGAGAACATGCAATATTTCTCTTTTTGTGCCTGGTTTATTTCACTTAGCATAATTTTCTCCAAGTTCATCCATGTTGCTGCTAATGGCAGAATTTTGTTCTTCTGTATGGCTGAGTAGTACTCTGTTGTGTACATATACTACGTTTTGCTTCTCTAGTCATCCATCAGTGGATGTTTAGATTGGTCCATATCTTGACTATTGTAAATAGAGCTGCGATAAAAACACAGGAGTGCAGGTATCCTTTCGACATGATGATTTCCATTCCTTTGGGTTTATACCCAGTAATGGGATTGCTAACTTGTATGGTCTAACTGTAGTTGTTTGAGAAGCTGTCATACTGTTTTCTGTAATGGCTGTACTAATTTGCAATCCCGCCAACAGTGTGTAAGTTTTCCTCTTTCTCCACATCCTTACCAGCATTTATTATTTTCTTTCTTTTTGATAATTGCCAGTCTAGCTAGGGTGAGATAATGTCTCGATGTAGTTTTGATTTGCGTCTCTCTTATGCTTTGTGATATTGAGCATTTTTTCATATACCTGTTGGTCATTTGTATGTTGTCTTTTGAGAAATGTCTATTCAGCTTCTTTACCCATTTTTTAATCAGAATATTTGTTTTTTTAATTATTAAGTTGCTTGAATTCCTTGTATATTCTATATATTAATGCCTGGTCAGATGCATAGTTTGCAAATATTTTCTTGTGTTTTTAGGTTGTCCTTTTGCTCTGTTGCTTCCTTTGCTGTGCAGAATCTTCTAAACTACTTTACATACCTTTTGTAGTACAGGTTCTTAATGTAGGGTCCATAGATGTACTTTTCTTTTAAAACATAGTTATACATAATGCAAAGGATTTCTGCCATGTGACATTTCACCAAATGAAAGGTTAGTCCGTACTATGTAAACAAATGTATTTTAGAGAAGACATTTGTCAATATCATAATACTGGCATATGTAGAAAAAGGTCATATGTAGAGGCTATGTGTAGTAGACAGTATCCTGGAAAGTATGGGGGAATCTTGAGAATTTATATAAACAATAATAACTCACATCTGTTAGCAAATAATATACATATCACATTCATATGCATTAGTTTAAATAATCTTTTTGTCAATCCCATGGAGTAATGGGTCGAATGTTATCCTAGTTTACTGATTATTAAAGAAATATACTGCTTAGAGAAGTTAAATGACTTTTCCAGATTCACACAACTTGTAAGTGGTGTAACTAATTAAAGTACACATTTAGGTATAGTCCTATGCACATTTTTTCCAAAGCACATTGCCCTTATGCTAAGAAAGTAGCTGAATTTTTTAATGAATATATAATTTGTATACTTCAACAGAAGAAACTGTTCATTTTACAATTTACATATTTCTGAATTTCATTGTTTAAAATTCATTTAAAATGTCTCCCTGTTTGTGTGGACAAAATTGGAAACTAATTCTGTCCCCTAAATATTTTCAGTGTTCTTTAACTGTTGGCATGAAATTATAGCAAGGATCCCAGTCACAAGGCTCTCAAGTATATCATCTCCTTTAGCACTGCTAAATTACCATAAAAGTACCAAATAATAAAAGGCTCAACTATAGTTAAATTACTACAAATTGATCATATCAAGCAGTTAATGGACAAAATTTCACTTTTACTATTTGTGCTAGTAATAATTTAGAATCAAGAACCTTAGGAATTTAAATAGACTTAGTTATACTTAATTTATTTGTGTATTCAGTTTAAAACATTGTTTTTTTGAGAAGAAAGAGGACATCTGAAGTTCTCCATAAATAAGGCATACAGAATGAGGCTTTAGTTCAACTAAATTTTAAGACTCTAATCTAGAATCGTGTAAGATGCCCTACCTTTTGGTAAGCTCATTATTTTCATAATGCCTTTGTCATGATAGCAGAAACAGGTTTATCTATGAGATAATGAATGTGTTTATTTTTGTAAAAACATAATAAATTTATAAGAGATCTGAGAAATGTACATCTACTCTGAAGTAGAAATTTAATCTGGAATGAAAATTAATTTTACATCTATGTAATTTATGACTATGTATTCAGTTTAAATGAAATAAAACTTAACTCAGCATTTCTAGGTTGTGTGGCCAATAATTTTGCTCTTAAGTCACAAAGATGTTTATATTGATGCCACTTTTTAAATCCCTGGAATATTTTAAACTTTCATATCAAATAATCTAGGACTCTGAAACAATTCTTTTTTATTTTTGAACATATTGGTCTGTCACATCTGTGCTCTGTAATCATCAGTTGGTTATCATAATTTTAATATGCTTCATGACTAGTGACATGAGATAAGAATATAAACTCTTTATTATTCTGATAAAAGATACTAGTTAGGAGCAAAACAGTTTTTACATTGTAATTATAAAAAACCATAGTGTCTTGCATATGTTATGCAGCACTACTAATAGCTAATCTCACTCTTTTTTGGACTCCAACATTTACCATAAAAGTGCTTTATAGCATCTATATAATTTTTTCTTCTTTTTGTCCCTTCTTTGTAGTTGTTTGAAATTACAGTGCCTCTCTCTCAAGGCCCCAAACCAGTAACAATCAGTTTTGCCAATCACACTTCCTGCCGATGCATGTCTAAACTGGATGTTTACAGACAAGTTCATTCAATTATTAGACGTTCCCTGCCAGCAACAATACCACAGTGAGTATGAATTAAATCTATTTTCTTCTGCATCCTCTACTAATATAAAATTATTTTCAAGTAAACACAAGTTTATTAAAAGAAGTTTTGTGCAATTTGCTATAATATCCTTTGAATCAAATATAAACTGAAGATAAAATTTTTTATAGTGTACTATGAAAATAAAATTCAACTGAACCAGGGAAGCCCATTTTATAGGAAAAGTAGTTCACAATATAAAAGAAGTATTTCTGTGGAACAACACACATCTCACCAACGTTCAAACTATCAGTAAGGTAACCTGATTGATTTAACGTTTATGAAATCAGATATGCTAATTCATAAATGATGTTAAAGCTCAAATCATTTAAGCCTTTATAAGATTTTAGTTCAAAACAAAAAGTAAATATAAATAAATTGACATCTCCTAGCATCCAGTTGCCTTTTTTCAATCTCAAATACATATATATATATATATATATATATATCCATATTTCTTATTTTAGCAAGGATTGAATATTGAAATAATGCTTAGTTACATGAAAGAATTTTCTCTTAACAGTATTTCAAATTAACATTTAAACTATCATTTTTTATTCAAGTTTCCTTTCAATCCTATATTTTTAGTTTGGCAAATGGAAGCATATTATTCATTTAATCAATGGGGGATCCTGGATAGAGCATCACATCCTGACCCCGTGAAGAGTTTAAAATGAATCAATATGTGTTGCCATTTGTGACCTATGAACTTTCTGTCCTCAAATAGGGATGCAGCTCTTTGTTCTTTAGGATATCCAGTGTGTATGGAATGTGCATATGAGTAAAACTTATGTAATTCCAACATTTGTAACAAAAGGACAAATAAATCAATGGGCACACATATATGTATTACACAAATTTTAAAATAAACCTTGCATTTTAGGAGACTTGACAATAAGTGTAATATGCTTAGTGATCTTCCCAATGAATCTGTACTGCTCTGCTTAGTGCGGCAGCTGGGATGCCTGTCTCTCCAGGGACACCTTAGGAAAAACTCAAGGATAGTCTAACTTGAGTGACAGAGACCTGTCCTTCTTGACGTGAGAAAGAAAAGATCTTACAGACATCTGTGAATAAATTCATGCTGATACAAGCAGAAAAGAAACTACCACCTGCAGGAAAGAAGATGCCTTATGGTGATTAGGGTGATTTCATTCACACGGTTCTAAGAGTTTTGTTCACTCTCTAGGTCTTGCTTCCCTTAGTGTCTCATCCATTCTGAGAGCTTCAGCCATTATCTTCATGCTCATGGTTTCCAAAATTACATTTGAAGATCTGACCATATTCTTGACTTCTAATATTTTATCTAAACCTATTTTATATTTCTGTTTGTAATTATAATAGATATAATAGGTATAAAACCAAAGATTTATTATGTTCCTCCCTTTGTTTATTTCTACATTGTTCATAGCAATGTTCTCTCATATTCTTTGAGGTCTTGAAATTGCACAGTTATAATTACTTCTTCTTATATCCCACCCTGACCCAATTGATTATTTTGGAGGAGAGGGGATAAATCTGTTTCAATCTAAACATATGTTTTACTTCCATCATGGCCAGGTGCATCCACTTCATTCTGCAAGTATATCTAATTTAATGCAGCAATGTCGATACTAGTTTTCTAGTATCAAGTATTTTCCCTACTCCTGTATAATGTAACAAGTAAGCATTAAAAGGCATCCATTCATTCATCTGACCAGAAATGGTTAAGGACTTTGAAATGCTCAAAGAATTGAGCACAGCTTTCTCACCATCCTATTCTGGTACCTAGTATCTTTCTTTCTTGTTTTGTCTCCCGTTATTCACCAAGTGTGTGTTTCACAAAGTCTAATTCCCTGAACACTGAGCTCATTTCCTGCTCTGTATCTTATTTCAGTTCTGGCCCTGGCTTGAAATAAGTTCCCTTTCTTTTCTACCTTTTCAAAGCCCTATCCATTTCTCAGAGTTCAGGTAAAGGTCTTTCTCCTGCATTTGTCTCATCCAAATACCACACCACCTTTGCTTCTTGAATACCCATAGCAATTACCATAATCACTTAATTCTTGCATGGCTTTATCAGGGTCTGTAAATGTTACATGTGAAACTGGATTGTGAGAGTGTTTCAGTTAGACATATCCTCCATAATATCAGGTAATAAAACTGAAAAATAATTCAGCTGTTATGATGCTTTCAAGCCTTTACATACATTGTATCATTTAACCCTTATGAAAATCATCTATGAAGTCAGTAGTAGTGTTAGCCTTCTTTTATAGACAAAATAGGCAATCACTGTAAAGCTGTGGGCTAAACAAAGCACTAGGCACATCAGAAATGCTTGTTAAATGATTTATCTGTATATATTTCATAGCATTTGGCCTGTTTTACTCATGTTTTTATCATTATTTATTCATACAACTACTATTTATGTAACTACAGTGTTTGAGGTCAAGAAAAGACAGAGAATTATAGCAAAAAGGGCCTGGGCTTTACAGTAAGCCAGATTTGAATCTGAATTCAGGTCTGCCACCAATTCGCTTTTTACAATCAGGTAGGTATTTCAGTTTCTGAACATCAGCTTGCTTATACTCGTATATAAACTGTAAAGATGTAAAGAGGATTGAATAAAATACTGAATATTTATGCAGTGTTTAGCATAGTGTCTGACATCCAAGATGGAGTCATTAACGGTCAGATTTATTATTATCCTTAAGATCCATGTCTGACTTATCTTCTTGCCCATATTTTTCATTGTTTTTTTAACCAGTCTACAATAAGAAATACATTTTGTATTCCAAGCTAGAATGTGTGTGACATATGTGTGTGTGTGTGTGTGTGTGTGTGTATACACACACACACATATATTATACATATAGTGTGTCACACATTCTAGCTTGGAATACAAAATGTATTTCTTATGTATATATATATATATATATATATATATATATATATATAACATGTATAGTTTTAAAGCAGATAGCTATATAATTTTGCATGTAATTAGTCATATATAAGTATAAAACTAAAACAAAATATCATTTAAAATATAGTGCTGCTAAACTTTATTCATTATCATTCCCTTAAGGATCCTTTTATAAACATTTGTTTCCTAATTGCTCCCCCCATGAACTTTTAATGTCACAGATACACCATATATTTCTTTACATAATGTATGTGTATCTATGCTTTTTACATAAAAAGGAAATATAAAGTATACTTTTTAATTCAATGTAGGGTTAAAATGGCAAAAAAATTTAAGTTAAAAGTTCAATTAAAAATTTTAAATCTATTAACAGTAAGCATAACTGTGTCTGCTGAGGAAATTTTGAGGTAATTATTTACTTATATAAATAGTAATGTATCAAATTATATATGAAAAGTTGCAATTGATATGAATATATAATAATAAAAATATAATTTTTAAAACATTCAAAATCATTATTTTTCCAGAAAAAAGTAAAATAATTTTTAAAATAATAATTTAAAAATTTTTTTAGAGAATTTAACTTTGCTTATGTGAGAAAACTTTTAACTTATATAGCTGATAGATATCAACTTGGATATTGTCAACTCTTTTCTTTTCAGTATTTGACATATTGGTGGTATGAATAACTTTTGTAGAATTTATAATAAATTAGAAACTATTTTTCATTTAACTCTCAAAGCTCAAGTCACACGAAAGCACCAAGGACCAAGCATAAACTATATTCACAAGGCAACCAATGGCAGCCAATAGGCTCAAATCGGTACCTCTCACTGTATGACCCACTTAATGATCATAATATGATCACGCAGTTGGTCAAGAGAAAGTCCTGCAACCACAGCTATCTATGCACCATTATTCTGTAGCTCTCATCTTGCATATACTTTCAGTATTTTCCAATGCCACTGCTGCTCATGTAATAGCCAGTAAAACCTAATAGAAATTAAGTACTAAAGAATAAGATTTTCTTGGGTTTTGGAGAGCCAAAAACCATTGTAATATCAAGATTTTGTCCCACCTTATACTCAGTTTTTACCCTGTAGGCATGATACTACTCCCATTATGAATGCATGCCTAATTACATATGACACACTCAAGTATTTTTTTCTATTGTTTCTCTTTTTTGAAAATGGTCTCAACCTATTGTAAATTGAGGCCCATAATTTAATTAAAAACTATAATGATAATCTATGCGATGAATATGTAGCTATGTTATAAAATCCTAACCTTTGTTAAGAGGAACAGCCACCACAATGGATAAAATTTAAAGAACAACAAAAACAAGTATTAGAGAGGATGTCATGCAACTGGAATTCTCATGTATCATGGATGAGAGTGTAAAATGGGGTTCAACCATTTTGCAAAAACAGTTCAGAGATTCTTGTAAACAACATATACATTTACAATATGATGCATAAATTCCCCTGTCAAGTGTTACTCAAGAAATATAAAAACATATTTCCACACAATTACTTGTATGCAAATGTTCTTTATTAGACAATAACTGGGAGCAACCCAAAAGTCCATCAAAGGTGAACAGATAAACAAATTGTAGCATACACACACGGTGGATCTTTGCTGAGCAACATAAAAATAATGAACTGTTGATATCCACAATGACGTGGTTGGATCTCAAAAACATTGATCTGAGTGAAGTAAACTAAAAAGAATACGTACTGTACAATTTTATTTACATGAAACCCTAGGAAAAAACAAATATAATCTCGATTGAGAGAAAGCAATTCAGTAGTTGCTTGAGGATGTGGATTGTGGAAATTGACTGGGAATGGGCAAAAGAAACAATTTGAGGTGATGGATATGTTCTATACTTTGATTGTGATGATAGTTACATGGGGAATGGGCAAAAGAAACAATTTGAGGTGATGGATATGTTCTATACTTTGATTGTGATGATAGTTACATGGGTGCATAAATTTAGAAAAGACCACGAATTTAAAAGTGGAAATTATGTTGTATGTAAATTATTTCTCAATAAAATTGATTTTTGAAAAGCCAAGAG